AGAGGGAAAGGGGAGAGAGGGGGAGGGAGGGAGAAGGAAGGAGAGAGGAAGGACGGAGGGAAAATGGAAGGAGGGAGGGAGGGAAAATAGAAAAAAGGAAGGAAGAGGTGGGAGGGAAGGAAGAGGGAAAGGGGAGAGAGGGGGAGGGAGGGAGAAGGAAGGAGAGAGGAAGGACGGAGGGAAAAGGGAAGGAGGGAGGGAGGGAAAATAGAAAAAAGGAAGGAAGAGGTGGGAGGGAAGGAAGAGGGAAAGGGGAGAGAGGGGGAGGGAGGGAGAAGGAAGGAGAGAGGAAGGACGGAGGGAAAAGGGAAGGAGGGAGGGAGGGAAAATAGAAAGAAGGATGGAAGATAGGTGGGAGGGAGGGAGGAAGGGGAGAGGGAAGGAAGAGGGAAAGGGGAGAGGGAGGGAGGGAAAAGGAAGGAGAGAGGAAGGACGGAGGGAAAATGGAAGGAGGGAGGGAGGGAAAATAGAAAAAAGGAAGGAAGATAGGTGGGAGGGAGGGAGGAAGGGGAGAGGGAAGGAAGAGGGAAAGGGGAGAGGGAGGGAGGGAAAAGGAAGGAGAGAGGAAGGACGGAGGGAAAATGGAAGGGAGGGAGGAAAGAAGGGGAGAGGGGAAGGAAGAGAGAAAGGGTAGAGAGGGAGAGGAAAGGAAGGAAGGAAGGGAGGGAAGAATGGAGGGAAATGGGAGGAAGAAAGGGTGGGAGGGAGGGAGGGAGAGCGATGCCTTCTTTGGGTTGAAATAGAGTAAAAAGAATAAAGGAGGTTAGGGGGTGAGGTTGGGAGGCATTGCAAGCTGGATCCATAGATGGCTTATTAAGAGGTCACTTTTGGCAGAAATGGTTACAAATGAAATGTGGGGAAGCTGCTCTGTATAATGAGTGTGAATTGCTCTTCCTTTCCTTGCACCAGCAGTAAATGCAGGAGAAACTGAAGACATTTGTATGCATTCCGGATTAGAGATAATCCTCCATTTGCAACTGTAATTCAGCCCGGAATTACAGCAGTAACTCATTGCAGTTATATGTCGAGGCACCACGTGATCAGATTCAAAGTTGTGATCATTTTTTAACATAAGTAAAGGTAAAGGTTCCCCTCGCACATATGTGCTAATCATTCCCGACTTTAGGGGGCAGTGCTCATTTCCGTTTCAAAGCCAAAGAGCCAGCGCTGTCCAAAGACGTCTCCGTGGTCATGTGGCCGGCATGACTCAACGCCGAAGGCGCACGGAACGTTGTTCCCTTCCCACCAAAGGTGGTTCCTATTTTTCGACTTGCATTTTTTACGTGCTTTCGAACTGCTAGGTTGGCAGAAGCTGGGACAAGTCACAGGAGCTCACTCCATTACGCAAAACTAGGGATTCGAACCGCTAAACTGCCGACCTTTCTAATCCACAAGCTCAGAGTCTTAGCCACTGAGCCATTGCAAATATCACATAGACTTATATACTGCTTATATACTTTACACCAAGGGTCCCCCCCACAGTCTGTGTATCGACACCGGTCCACGTCATGCCAGAAACCAGGCTGTGCAAACAAGTGAAGCCCCCTCCGTGCACACGCGGGATGCAGGCAGCGTGCGAAACCAGCTCCTTCCCGTCTGTGAAAAATCCTCTCTCCATGGAATTGATCCCTGGCCCCCAAATTGGGGGGGCCCACTGCCTTCTAGCATTCACTAAGCAGTTTACAGAGTCAGCCAATTGCCCCCCCAAAATTTTACCGACCTTGGACGGAGGGAAGGCTGAGTCAGCTTCGAATCCCGTCAAGATCGAATCCCAGGTGGTGGGCAGAGTTAGCCTGCAATACTGCATTCCAACCACAGCACCACCACATCTCTAACCTGGTTGTTAAGCGAATACGGCGGTCGTTAAATCAATCCCAGTTTTTCCCAGTGAGCATGCGGGAGGGGGGGGGGAGTTTTTCGGCTGGAAAGCAGCAAATAAATGACAGAAACCGGCAAAACCCATCACCAATTGCAGCCAAGCGAAATACTGGTTAGTAAGTTGTTTTGTTGTGCAGGAGGAGGATTAATTCTTCATGCTGAGCTTGCTATCTGCAGATGTTCTTCCACTGGGGTTTAGGTGCAGTGAAGCTTTGAGGCCGACCCAACAACTGTCATACATATGGACAGGATTTGCTATTCAATGTCCTTAGAAGAATGAAGCCGATAGAGCATGCGGGACATCAATCAAGGGCGTTCCAGACGATTAGAGATCAGGATGAGCCTCTCCTTCAGCCTGCTCCT